CTTTCAAAATATATGTATTTTGATCTCCTAAACAACTTTCACTTAATAAGCTATATCAATTTATTTAGTAAAATTTTGACTTTACTATAGAGTAACTACTAACGATCATATAGTAGCTTATTTTCAGGTATAAGATGTTTTTATATTTTTCTTCCAAAAAAGAAAGGTAGCTTATTTTCAAAGGTGGCTTATTTTTAGCAATATACAGTATCTTGTAGTACTATTAAACATAAGGATACCAGATATTTATCAGTTTTTTTAGAGACTTATCAGTATATTCAATAGAGCTATTTATTAATTTATATATTTATCAATTCATAATTTGATAACTTTTATTTACAATAGGAAAGTATAACTTATATATAATATATTATTGAAAGCAATATCTCAATTGTAATTCATATATACTATATATTATGTAATTGCTAATATTAATACAAATAATATAATTTTTTTTACAAAAAATATGCTATATCAACTATATATAATATAATGTTTAAAGCTATAAAATAAAAAAAATAATACATTGCTATTTTGGTAGAATTTCTATTTATCAGAAATGTTATTTGCATCACTAGAATTGTCATATTCTTTATTATTATTATCAGTTTCATTCTAGAATTCATTATAATCATTATACAATTCATCATAATTTCTATTGATATCATTTTCAGTGCTTCTTTCAGTGCTTCTTACATCTTTATTATTGTTACCACTATTACTACTACTTGGAACTACTTTTTCTTTGTTGTTATTATCTTCTTCTGAAATATAAGAAGCAGAAATGGTCCACTCAAGAGCATTATTTAGAGGTTTTGATTATTGATCTATTTGTTGTCATTGTACTACTGCTTTCTTGATAATTTAATGTAGAATATTTTTTTTTTATTTCATTGGCCAACCACAAAATTTTTTAATCTATAGTTAAATAGAATGAAAAATAAATAAATAAATTTAAAACAAAATAATAAAAGGCTCACTTACTCTATAAGATCTCTAAAGCTTATTGTAAATATAGAGTATATGATTATCAATCTTTTAATTTGAATATATTTTTGTTGCTTTTCTGCTTTCATAAATTCAAAATCTGTTTTCAAAATTTTATCAGAATAGTAGCTTCCATTGTTAATAATATTTTTAAGATCTTTTTAAAATTGTCAAAATCTATTGATAGCACAAAGTCTCTAAGGTTTCTATTTTTGGTATTGATTATATGACCAATATCACAAATTCATCTTTTTTTCTACAAATCATAAATTTAAAACAAAAAAAAAACTATTCATTTATTAAAAAAAAAAAAAAAAAATCCTGTTCATTTATATTAA